AAGTTATCGATATCAGAAAAAAATTTCTGCGTACAGAAAATAAAACGAATAAATTATACATTTTATATTATTTTTTCATATTTTAAAGTGTATATAATCGAAGAAAATAATATAATTGCCACATACAGAAAAAAAAACAAAAAAAATTTCGAAATCGATTCTATCTCGGTCTTCATGACAATATCCCCGAATTTTACATCCCGATATCGTCGTTAAGACTGCAAATATCTGAATAATTTAATATCAATTAAAAGATAACTATTAAAATATACATACATAATTACTGCAAAACTAATTTATTATTATTCAAATCCAAATATCCGGATTAACTGGATCTGACATCTGGAGAATCAAACTCGATCCGAATCCGCGAGATTCTTAATTCGCGCCCGAATTGCGGGAGATGGAACGAGGAATGTAATTGCGAAGCGCAATATACCCAAAATCGATTCGTATCCACCACGAAAATTTATCCCTTTCCGCGAAAATCCATCCCGCGTATCGTCGCGTAAATATCCGGATAATTCAATATCTGAATTGTCGGAAATAATTATTATCGGATCACTCAAATTCCCCTCCCCTCTTCGTGTCCTCCTTCCCCTCCTCCTCAAAACAGCCGGATCATCGGAATCTAATAAATCCGGAAGGATCGGATTTATCCGAATTTCTGCGAAATTAATTCGGATAATTAATAAATCCATAAATTCGCGAGTTATCCGCCGATCGGACAGAAAACCGATTTCGGAGCGTGACGAAACTTTATCAAAAGTAACACGATAAAAATGCAAACGAAGCGGGAGGAATTGCCTGCATTATTTTCGCGTGTTTCACGCACTGCAAAATCGAGATATCAGCGGATTCAAATTTAGAGTCCTAATCTTTACACGCGGATTTGCATCGCCGTGTGTATGTGTGTGTATGTGTGTGTTGCGCGTTTTGCATGTCGTTACATGTGCGTGTAAACGCATCAATGCGGTACGTCGATGAAAAATTGCAAATGCATTTTCGGACGTTTTCCGTTACTATCATTTCCTGATACCATTTTATCAGCGGTGTAAGTCTTCAAAAAAAAAAAAAAAAAAAATAGCCCACGTGCATTCAACCTCCCGTTTATCTGATATTTTATTTATTTTAGCATCGGAATCATACGCGACAATTTCCCCACGTGCATATCTACTAATATTTTCTACATCTAGCGTACACGGAAAGAATGATTTTGCTGAAGTGTCTAAAAATTTAACTTTAGATATTAGTCTAAAAAATAATTTTGTTGGACAGTCAAGATAATTACGCAGAAATCTCAAGCGTGATAAGCAATTTGCAAAAAGTTTTGACATTCTGGCAATCAGCTTGAGCTACATAATTACGCCAGTTTCAAAAATGTTTTTTTTTTTTATTACTTTGAACCAGACAAGGTTTGAAAATAATATTGCAAGTTAAATTTCAATACATATACAGGGAGTCTCATTTTAATTGTCCGTCTCGAATATCTAAAAAATATGCATTTTCCAAAAAATATTTCAAACAAAAATTATATGATCAATATATATCAATAGCTGCAAATTAGAAATTATATTATATGTAACTTCATCGTTATAAGCGCAAAATTTGCTAGTTGAGAAAAACCCTGTATTTAAATCCTTTGTAACATGATTTTAAAAAAGATAATCAAATTAAGAAAATGCATTTTATAGGAGAGGGACAATTCGTTCATGACTTTTAATCGGAATTTCAAGACAATGTTGACCTTCTTTACAAAAAAGTAAAATATAAAATAGTTAAATAAACATTTTTTTATACCCTAATTAAACCTTAATTATTTTTGATGTTTGAAAACTGATATTTTTAAGGTCTAAGAAATGATTCGTTGGAATTTTTTGACTTGCGGCATCGATTTCAACATTCAAAAATCTATAAGAAACACCTAGTTTGGTTTAAAGTAATTCTTTATTATAATGTTATTTGTATATTCAACAAAATTATTATTAAATCTGTATCTAATTAAATTTTTAGACACTCCAGTAAAAGTGTCCTTTCCGTATAAAAACCTCCAGATATGTTTCCTAAATATATTTCCCCCGGGGCACAGAGGAGTGTACGACTTTTCCGTAAAGTTTCTAGTCTCGCAATTTCTACAGTTTCATACTTTTCATCTCGATGCCGTCGACGTGCGCGCGAACGTCTCCTCCCTTTCATTGGGGTAAACGACAGGTAATCTATCGGCAACTTATAAAGAAAGAAGGAACAACAAAGGGGCGGATCCCCCGGAGGAACTTTCGAGTCTCGGAATAGCGGTTATCTCAGAAATAGCAGTGGCGTCAGGGCGATCAGTTTAGATAAGCACGTTTAGTAATCAGCTGTTGCAAGGAGCCGTTCTTCTCTGAGTAAAGGATCACTGCTTCTTCAAAATGTAAATTTCTGTAGTAATAATATGATCTCTTGCGAGAAACGAGAGGATGAAAAGGAGGAAAAGGAGGGCGACAGACGCGGATAATCTACACTTTCTAAAAAAAAAAAGAAAAAAATGAAAAGAGAAAAGAAGATAAACTCTTCTTAAGTAAACGGGAGGCGCAAGATTTACGCAGTCAACTTTCATAGAAGGGTAGTTTCTCGAGAACAGTGTATTGATCATATCGAACTTTCGATTAAGAAAAGAAGAAGCACGGAGCTGAAACTTTTGATAAGCAAGCTCGCAAATATTACAAATCTCCATATCTGCCAATGTGGAATTAACTTTAATCTTTGGTTCAACTTGCCATTTATCTTTTTCTAATTCTAAGAATCAGGAAAAGAGAAAAAGTGAAAACTTAGATTAAAGTCAACGTCAAGTTCCACATGGAGATGGTGAAAAAGTCCTTTTTCTCTCTGTGTCTTCAAGGTGTAGATGAAGTGAGGGGATAAACAGGTTCGAACAAATAGGACACGAGGGAGGAAGTCTCGCTTTTGTCGTCGACGGGATTCGCAGCGCGTCGCTGGGGAAAAGTAGCCCGCAGGCCTAAATACGCTCTAATTAATACAAAGAAAACAGAAATGGAGAACGATTACTACTAATGAACTCTAATGGACCGATGACGAATGGTCGTCCGGCTGATCGGTGGCTGATCGGTGCTTCGGCGCGGCGACTCCGTAGGGAAGATCTCGCGAGAGGCACCTTTCTCGAGGTGCGTCGTGTCGGAACTCGATCGGCGACGTGCAACCACCGCGTGCAACCAACTGTCCGATACTCCCTTCGTGACTTCTCACAATTCTAACAAATCTGAAATAATAAATCTTTGCACTTTTATCATTAACGAGAGATTAAAATTCATCTATCTTGTTACAATTTTACACCAACACTTGTCATTGATTATCTATTATTGCCAACGAATAATCTCTCGGCAGCAGACACTGTCAATTATAAGAAAAACGAGACATCGAGAAACTCTATTGAAACAAAAAAAATCACGTCACGACACAGTTGCATGATGAAATCATGTAATTAAAATATGTAAATCACGTAATGGATTGTTTCAAATCGGTAGATGATTTTAAAATTACATATTTTGAAAAGTTACATAATAATATGTTCTTTTTTTCTTGTATTCCTG